CCCTCAATGGGCCAGAAAAAAAACCCGTCCAAGTCAGGGGCAGTCAACAATCCCCGTAAACCGAAGCACAACATACATTTATTTTGCAGTGGTAAATCAATCTGCTTTGCCAGCATCCTGCAACTTTTATTGAACTGGGCTTTCGGCCATCTGATACGCCCCCAAAGTCTCCGTAACCACGTATTTGTTAATTACAAATTAATTACAAATTACGACTGCCGTTTGCAATCGTGACTGGCGTTGCAGTCCTGATATCACAGAACGGCCCTCTTCTCAGAAGGCTGCAGGAGCAGCCACAGCAGTTTTCCCGCCCTCCTGAGCGCTCACTATAATATGCTGGGCACTGCGCTAAGCGTGCCACCCTTCAAGTCCCCAGGGAGCCGCGGTGCACCCTCCGTTCCCGGCGCTCGCAGCCATTGTGGGGTGGGCGCTCGCCCGGCAGCGTGCTGACACGCCCTCTCCGCGCTGCGACCCGCGGCCAGGGCCGGAGGGGGGTGCTGCGGGCGTGCTGGGAGGAGGGAGCGGCTCCCGCGGGGGTGGGCTCCTAGCTGCACAGGCAGCCGGTTAGCCTCGGCCGCAGGCGCCCCACGCGCCTCCCGGGCACGCGCTCCTAGCCCCGCCCGCGTGCGGCGGCGCAGCGGCCGCGAGCGCGCGCCCTCCCCGCGCCCCCGCGGCGGACGCACGGCCACGAGCGCGCGTGCGCCCCTCCAAACGTCCCCGGGAGCCGCGCCAGAGCGAGCGCCGGGGCCGGGCGCGCAGGAGTGAAAAGGAGGCGGCGGCCGCGGCTACGAGCAACAGATCCGGGGGCCGCGAGCAGGCGTGTTCTGCTGTTGGGAGATTTTTTTTCTTTAATTTCAAAATTATTATTAAATTAGAAAATTTTGTATTTTTAAATGGCGCTGGCCCCGGGTCAGCGGGCGGTTTTCTCTGCTTCAAGATGGGCTTTGCCGTTTCCGTCGTGGGCACCAGTGGTGGCCTGATTGTCAGTCTTCTCCGGGCATTTTTAAGGCCAGGAGCCAAGCGCTGCATGTAGGCGAATCACCCTGCAGAGCGGTTTGGCTTTTAAAATTATTATTATTTGGGGCAGTGAACAGCCGATCTCGGGCACTTCGCCCTCTTTGCAGAAGGAGCTGCGAGTCGGAGGTGGGTCGCTCGGAGGGTGGAATTGCTCGCGGGTGAGCGAGCCCCGGCCCCGCGCACAGTCCAGGCGGCCCCGAGTGTGTGTCCTCTCCCTGCCGGCGCCGGGAAAATGGAGGCTGTGATTGAGAAGGAATGCAGCGCGCTCGGAGGCCTCTTCCAGACCATCATCAGCGACATGAAGGTAGGACGCTGGGGGCGCGGCTGCGGTGTCGGCGGCCGCGCACTGACCTCGCCGCGGAGCTTCGCCTCCGCCCCGGGCAGTCCGCCCGGCCCTTGCTTGCGCGGTGGCCGCCGGCCACCTGCGGGAGCGCTCCGGCCGGGTGTCACCTGCTCACCCGCGGCGCTGCTCCGGGCGCTGCTGGGCCACCGAGCGGGCGGCTTCCCTGGGGGTGTCTTATGCCCCCTGCCTTCTTCCCGTTCGTTGTCCCAGGGGGCGGCAGCATCTCGTTTCCCTGGGGGCGCAGGGCCCCGGCCCCAAGTTTTCCATTGTCTGTCGCTGGACCGAGTGTCTGCGACCCGCTGAGGCTGGGTGCCTGGGCAGACACCTGATTCCCCCGAGTACGGGGTGGGGGCGCCTGGTGCGGTTGTGGGGAGGGACGTGGGGGCTCTGTCTGGCGACTGGAGCTAGCCCCCCAAGCCCCCGGCCCGAGAGCCTGAGAGAGGCCTCCCTCTCCCCTCTGGGCTTTCAGGTTCACCCTGGGGGCGGGGAGGGGGGGATCTGAGCAAATTAGGTATTAATTAGGCTGTTCCATAGCTGGTGAAGCTATGCATGCCTTCCCTCAACCCTCCCCAGGGGCGCGGAGCAGAAGTTCCCAGAGTAGCCTTGCTGGGGACCCTCCTTCTGGCCGAGCCTCCCAGCCTGAAAGCAAAATTGGAGCCCCCTAAACAACTGTATTTTTCCCCTTCCGCCCCCCCCAAACACAGACTCCCGGTTTTTTTCTTGGAAGGATTGTATAGATTGTGTGTGTGTGTGTCCGTCCGTGTGTGCGCGCGCGCGGGCACGTGTGTGCGTGTGTGAGTGTGTGTGTGTGTGTATTGGGGGCGGGGAACAACACCCTGGTTTTTTCCTGCAAAGGGTGGGACTGGGGATAACCTGATCCCTGGATGTGGATTTTCTGGTGCATGGAGATAGAGCAGGGCCCTGTGTTACTCATCGAAAGGAAATATAAGCAGCCGTCCGAGCTGGCTGGAGGTGGGAATTGGGGGCGGTGGGGGGATTTTTTTTTTTTCTTGTGTATTTAGGGAGCTTCTCTTTGGCTCTAGCCCAGCCCCAGTTTGCCTCAACAGATCCGGGGAGGTGGTGTTTAATTAAAAGCTCGGCTTCCAAAACGAGTAGGCAGGTTTGGAAGGCTGTGCAGCCAGTGGGTGTGGACAGCCCCTCTTCAGCTGCTGCCTGGGCGCCTGGAGGAGCTTCTGTCTGATGAAGTGTAAGGCTTGGAGAGGGTTTGGCCTGGGAGATGGACTTTGCAAAGGAATGCTCAGCTGTCATGGCTTGCTTCCCCATTTTAGAACCAACTGCTGTCTCCTCAAGGGTGAACTTTTCCAAGGTGCCTCCATCCTGGTCTTGTCTATCCTACAGAGCCTGTGGTTTTTTGTTTTTGTTTTTGTCCGAAATTGACATTCGTGTAGCATTATCTTTAGCGAGACCCTGCTTGTCCAGGAATGCCACTAATCCAGCCACTTGGAATTAGGTGGATTATTCCCTGTTCAAAGACAGCCTCTCTCATTCCCTTGCCCTCAATCCACATGGACTCACTGAAGTGCTCTTCTTTTGAGACGAAGATTGGCGTCCCCGCCTTGGGCTCCGGAGGGGGGAGGTGTTTCTTGTTAACTTAAATTCTGTACACCTTATAATAAAGATTTGGTTGGAGGCACACATGTATTTCGATCACCAGAGGAAGAATTTGAGACGGGTTGGTAAAGCTGCGGGTGTTTTTTTTTGGAGAAGAGAAATGCATGTTTCCTAGTCCTTCAGTAATAACAAGGACCCAGTGACCTAAAAGTTCTGCCCACTGCAGTCTCAGCGTGTTCACATCTAGAGGTTTTTTTTTTTTTTCCCTTCTCTTTGTTCCTTAATCCAGAATCCGTCCAGTCTCAGTTCTTTGCCTTTATGGGCTTGAACCCCGAGCCATTCAGAAAGTAACCCACCGCAGGATGGGCTTCCTGCTTTCCACCTACCCCCCCCCCCTCCCCCGGCCATGGCTCCCTTAGCATTCTGGGCAGGGGGATTTGTGGGTGCTAAGGTGGCATGCTTTTTTTTTTTTTTTTTCCTCTGCAAGATTCCAGTTAAAAATAAAGCTTTATTTAATGCCCCTTCAGGGCTGGATCTATAGTTTGTGGTTCCTGACTTTTTTCCCTTTGAATTTAGTAGGGTTTGTTCAACATCCTGTGGGAAGGCATTTATTTTAAGGTTGTTTATTTTGTTTTGGCAAAGATTTTAAAAGCAAGTGGGAGTGGGAGAGTAAAACCTGCCTTGGGGTCAACAGAATTCCAGGCTTTTTGGGGAGTAGAGATAAGGAAACAGGGAGTAGTTGACTTATTTCCAAGATTATTTATGCATAAGATAATTGTTGAATATTTTCATGGAGTTTTCTTCTTAAAAGACTTCGTGGATAGGATGGCAGTGACATTTTAAAAGGGAATTAAAACATTTGGGCATAGAGGATAAGCAACGTGTAGTATGCATAATACATGAAGTCACCAGCAATAAAAGTCAGTCTTCAATATCTGAAATCAGCTGGCTTTCTAATGACCTGTTTATCTTTTATTTCCCCTCTCCTTTGAACTGCCATCATGGGTTTCTAATGTCTTTGGTCCCCTTTCTGTTGCTTTGAAGGACAAGTGTATATGTTGGAAACCCATTTGGAATGCCATCTTGAGAAAATTTTTAGGTTATCTTTTCTCCAGAATGTACAGCAACACAGGAAGGGAGTCAATTTCCTCTTTGGAGGGGGGAAAAAAAAAGAAAACAACAAAAAAATGGAATAATTTCAAGGCCTAACACCATACATCTTCTAAAACCAAAAAACCTCAAGACATTGAGTAGTTAGAGAGGAAACTTTCTGCTTTTTTCCTAATGTTCCTTCATCTGGCTAAATCCTCAGTGTTTTATCCTTTTCAGGGGGAAGGGTGTGGAAATAACCCTTACTCTTCTTCCATTGGGATCCAGCAGCAGCTGTTAAATAACTTATTGATTCCTTGACGAGAGGAAACCTTGTGTTTTTTTCTCCTGTGTTCCACCTTACTGTGGTGGTGGTCACTAATGATGGTGGTGTGCAGAATCGCTTACTGGCTGCCTTTCCGCCCATCCACATAAATCAAGGTGTCTGGTGTGAGCTGGTCCCAAAGGAAAGGGGAGACGAGATGCATGTGGCTGGAGGCAAGGGTTTGTTGTTCCCTTTTGTTTTGTACAGGGGACTGTAGCTTGGAGGTGACTATATGGAAGGCCAGTTGACTGGCTTCTGATGCTTGACAATATTTAGACATTAAAGAGGTCCTAGAATCCTTTTTGTAGTTTCTAGCCGAATGCCAAGAAAATCAGGCTACATGCAACAAATAGCTGATACGAGCCATTACTTATTTATTTATTGAGCTATAACTGACACATAACATTATATTAATTTAAGGTGTACAACACAGGGATTTGATGCTGTGATAGTTTTTAAAATAGTTTTTTTTTTTTTTTTTATAAATTTAGGTAATTGAACCAGTCATAGAATTTGGTGGTGTCTCGGGAGCTTTTAAGACCAGGAGACTGGCCAGACTAGAGGACAGGTCACTTTGTGGCTGTCTTCCTTTTTCTAATAATTAACTTTGTTGGTTTTTTTTTGTTTGTTTTTTTTTTAAGTTAGATCCTAAAACCAAATAGTTTCCTCAGCCTTGTTGCTCAAGAATCAGCATGTTGGGAGCTGAGTTGGGCCTGGCGCAGGGAGAACTTTGTACTAGGTTCCGGAGTGTGTTGGGGGTTATATAATGAGACTGGGGGGTGAAGAACACCCGACCACACCTTGAATTCCCTACCCCATAGCTCCCCTGTGGACAGGGGTGTCCTGTTACCAGCACCTGCGCTGAGCAGAATAGGGGCCTTGTTCATTCCCTCTCCACTGCCCCCCACCTCTGTTTGTACCAGTATCCTCTCTCCTGGATTCTGCCTTAAAATTCGAGCTGCTAAAGGAACTTCTTGAATTCCATGGAAATCTTTTGTGGTTCGAAGGCATGCCATGGTATTTTCCCTTACTTATCATACATCAAGAATGCGGGTATTGGGTCCAGCGCCGGATAATGATTTCAGGTTGTTTTCCCTCTTCTACCGCTTCGGCTTCGGGGTCCTGACAGACGAGAGGCCCCCTTCCTTGGTGTTTATCGAGGGCCTGCGCGTGGAAAGTCTTTGGCTGGCCAGCCAGGAGCCATGGAGCCACCAAGGCGTGCCCTTGGAGAGCAGCTTGTCCTGTGGGGCATGAGTAGATAACGTGAGTGTAATATGGTGGTCACGAAGGAAGGGCATCAGCCAGCCTTGAAGGACCTGCCTTTGACTCTTCAAAAAAAAAAAAAAAAGATAATAATAATAAAACTGTTTTCTCAAGGAAGATACTGAAAACCTGGCCAAGGTCTCCTAGGGCAGCCAGGTGCTCTGAAGGGAGGCTGGCTGCCCTAGAAATGGTGACACACAAAAGCAGAACAAGCAAAAAACCCTTGTAAAGTACAGATGGGCCTCATGTTGGCTTTTCTCTTAGCAAATGGCTGTGTTTGCCCAGGATTTTACAGCTTCCTCAGTTTGGGCCTGTGGGAGAAGAAGGTGAAGTGAAGATATCATAAAATCTGCAGCAGGAAACCACCCAGAATGGGTGCCTGTTCAAAGATGTAGGGCCTGTTCTGTCTAGATCAATCTGTTTGGTGTTGTAGGTCCAACCTCATCCAGGTTTAGAAAGAAGTCTTTTTTGGGGCGAGGGGTTCTTAGCTTGAATGTTTCTCTGGGAAAATCCCTTCTACATCATATTTAGCCAAATTGTTTAGAACTTCTTGCTTGATGCTGTGAACCTTGATGCTCTGAATTTCCACAGTTAGCGATGCCCCGAACAAAGAGAGAAGGTAGGTCCTAGGTCATGGTTTGCTTGGAAGATGAGCTGAGTTTGAATTTTGCCTGGTTCAGCTATCAGTCACTTCTTATGAGAGTAACTCATAATTCTGTAGTATTTATAGTATTTATTGAGCATTAGCAAGCACCGAGCTTGATGCTATGATTCAGCATGTAAAGATACAGAATTCCCAGTTAAGTCTGAATTTCAGATACGCCAGCAACTTTTTAGTGTAAGTATGTCCCGTACAAACTGTGCCCTCCCGGCTACTGATCTCTTGTACGTTCAAGTGCTCTTTTGCAACCAGGAAAAGGGAAAAAGCTAAAATGATCTCTGTCAATATGGCCAGTTCATTTGAGGTTGTTAAAATGTTTGGAGGATGAAAAGGTTGAAACTATTGATCTATTAGATGCTTTATCTAGAATTTTCATCTAGGCTTTTCCAGTCTTCCCAGGGATAGGTGAGAGCTGGCAGGATTCCTTCTCTAGACCATTTAGGTGTTCAAATTGGGTATGGAAAATTGAGATCATTTCAAGTTCACCATTGCTTCTCGGAACTGCCTTCAGGACACTTTCCCCTTAAACCCACACCTCCGCGAAAACAAAGAAATACTTTTCCCCCAGCCAAACAAAAGCCAAAGGCAGATTTAGCAGCCTAGGACATCAGACAAGAAGTGTCTGGGCCTCTTCAGAGGGAACTGACGGATGTCTTAAGCAGTTTAACTCAAGATTTGCAGATTGCACTGCTGATACGGCCTTATTAAGTAGCAAACCAGAGAGACAAATGGAGTAAATTAATTGGCTGAGCGTTGAGGAAGCCCATTGTGTTTGATTGTATTTGATTGCCGAGGATCTCCCTTGAATTAGTGGGAGATTGTGGAAGGTTTCATCTGAGTATCTGAGACACAGACACCCTGCCCCCGAAAGCAAAACCAAACCCACCCAGCTAAGACTCCAGAACAGCCCACCCGCTGGCAGTGTTTCCCATCTCTTAGCCCAGGGAGGACTTTGGCATGGGGCTGTATCATCTCAGTTGCTTCCCTATTTAAGATTGTCTTAAGTGCCACCTGGTACATAGTAGGTGCTCAGTATTCATTGCATGGGGTGAACATGGAGCAGGAAGGAACTGGTGAGAAGCTATGTGCCAGGTATTGTGCTAAGTGCTTGGTGGGCATGGTTTCTTGGTACCCTCACATCACCCCCACTTTACAGATGAGAAAACTGAGGTTTGGAGAGAGGCAGTAACTTGCCCAGGGCCATGGTGAGGTGGGTTGGTCTTCAGACCTTGACTCATTTGATCCTAAAGCTGGAGCTCTGTGGAACATGCTGAAGGTGGAGAGGGGGAGTGGATTTATGGCTAGAGGACAGCATACGGAACACTTTCCTGAGTTCTACAGGGAAGGAATCAAGGTCCTGTCTCTGTGGCTCTAGCCCAGAGCCAACCCGGAGGTGTGAACTTGAGCTGAGATGCCGTGAGGACTGTTGTAGGGCGGGCCGCTCCCATCTGGCTGTCACTTTTGTGGAAGTCCTTTGATTTATGATCTATTGATCTACTGTGGCTTCCTTCCCTTTCCCACTCACCCATCTTCTCTAACAGACAACCTGGCATTCTCCCTTCCTCTTCTGGGTGTGCAGAGAGGAAAGAAGCCTTTGGGCCAGGCTCTGGCCCGTAACCCTCAGCCTTGGCTCCTGTCCTTGTCCCCATACAAAGTGTCTGCAGTCTTCTTCTCCATGACTGGCCAGAGGGCCATGTTTATATGTCCAAGGAGCCCATCAGTCCCTGAGACTGGGCGACTATGCAAGCCTGGCAACCCTTTCTAATTATAGGAGTTAAATAAGTTCACCCAAAGTTCAAATGAGGCCCCAAAGAGAACTCCTTACCTTGAACTCATTTCGTGTCCAGCCCTGGAACTCTCTTGTAAAAGAGCTTTCTGTATTTAATTATGTCCCGGTAGCCCTCCAGTTTGGTTGAGTCTGTAGAGCCATTTCAGGTCTGTGTTTGGAGAAGTTGATGGGATTGCCAAAAAAACTCCTTCCTCTGCTGAGTCTTGGCATACACAGCCTTGGTCATAGTTTCTAAGTGGTGTTTCTTTTCCTGTCTAGTTTAAGTGGGTAAAAAAAAAAATCAATTGAGTGCCTTTTGAGCTGTGTGCTTTTTATTTGCTTTCTTCCCCTTGAACAATTTGGGCAGCAGTAAAATGTGAGCTTGCTCAGCATCAGTGACCTCCTGAGTCCTGGAGGTGGATGTCAGGTTTTGCCCGGGACTCCCTTCCTTGCCACCTCCCACAGGATGGGTCTCTAGGGGGCCGGAGGATTGGGTCTGGCCAGAGAAGGAGGTTCTGGGCACGTGTGCCCCTTTTGGTGGAATGGCCTGGTTACAGGCACAGGAGCATCTGATTCCCTGCCATTCTTAGCACACTGATGCCTGGACCCTATTTCTTAGAGGCCGTCATTCAGTGCTTCTGGGGTACATCTTGGGCATTCAGGTTTTTTGGTAAAGTACCCCCAGGTAATTCTACTGTGTAGTCAGGCTTGAGAACTACTGAGTTATACACAGTTTCAGCATCCTTAAAAGTATTTTCTCGACCTTACCGAAGTCGGAGTAAAAGCATGTTTAGATGTTTGCACAACAGTGTGAATATACTTAACACTGTTGAACTGGACACTTGAGAGTGGCCAAGATGGTATGTTCCATCTATTTATTTATGTTCTGTGTATTTTACCAGGATTGAAAATAAAAGGGGCTTCTGGTGGGCTCATTTGGATAAGTGTCCAACTTCAGCTCAGGTCATGATCTCACAGTTCGTGGCTTCAAGCCCCACGTTGGCCTCTGTGTTGACAGCTCAGGGCCTGGATCTGGCTTCGGATTCTATGTCTCCCTCTCTCTCTGCCCCTCTCCTTGTCTCTCTCAAAAATAAACATTAAAAAATAATAGTAAAATTAAAAAAAGAAATTTATGGTGAACCAACATTAAAGTAAATAAATTGAAATATAAAAATAGAAAAAGCATCTTTAGAATTCTTAACAATTTTAAATATATAGTAGTCCTGTCCAAAATAATTTTCATTTTTTAAAAAAAATGTTTATTTTTGAGAGCGGGGGAAGGGGTAGAGAGAGGGAGGGACGGAAGGCCCAAAGCAGGCTCCGTGAGAGAGGGAGGGACAGAGGACCCACAGCAGCCTCACGAATCATGGGATCATGACCTGAGCCACAGTTGGGTGCTTAACCGACTGAGCCACCCAGGTGCCCCTCCAGTATGATTTTCTACAATAATGGAAATAGTCAAATGTTAGCCAGTAGCCACATGTGACTGTTGAGCACTTGAAGTATGGCCAGCATGACCAAGAAACTGATTTTTAAGTTTTACTCATTTTCAGTTTGTTTAAATAGCCCTATGTGGCTAACAACTACCATACTGGACAGTACAGATCTATATGTAGCATACCATCTAAAATAGTGAGCAAAATAATAAAAATAGCTTCCTGCACACCTCTGTTTCCTTCTGGCCCCTTTATTGCCTCTAAACCCCTCCTGAAGAAATTCTAGAGCTCCTATTGACTTTGGAGTCAGGGAGATCTGGTTTTCAATCCTGTAGGCAATTTGCTTAATCTCTCAGCCTCCTTTTCTTCTGTAAATGGGTCTAAGAAAGTACCCACCTTAGACGACTCTGAAACGAGACCTTGCTTGTGAAGTGCTCCACATGGTGCCTGGCGTGCTCCTGGCCCTCGAATATTCGCTGCTATTACTCTTCCAGCTTACAGATGTGGAAATTGAGAGGGGCGCCTGGGTGGCTCAGTTGGTTAAGCGTCCGACTTCGGCTCAGGTCATGATCTCACAGTTCGTGGGTTCGAGCTCTGCGTTGGGCTCTGCTCAGAGCCTGGAGCCTGTTTCAGATTCTGTGTCTCCCTCTCTCTCTCTCTGACCCTCCCCTGCTCACGCTGTCTCTCTCTCTCTCTCAGAAATAAATAAAAACACTAAAAAAAAATTTTTTTTTAATTTTTTTTTTTTTAAAGGAGCTTCCCAAACTCTTTAAATCAGTGTAGCAGTTCTCTCTCCCCCACTTCTTAGGGCAAACGCTACCCCACCCTTGACCTAGCTGTGTTTAGAATTTGCAGGGAAGTTGCAAGAAATGGAGAAGTTGAGTTTTTTTTTTCCTTGCTAAGTAAATCACTCCTGAGTTCATTATAACCTCATCTGCCTCAGCTGAGCCTATTTGCAGTTTTCTATTTGCAAACCGCTGTCTATCAAGGGAGAGGAGGGCTGGGTGCCTGGCTGAGGTCCTCAGGGCATTTAATGCTTATTAAAAAAAAAAAAAAAAAAAAAGTCTTGCCGAGCTGTGATGGTAAGGGAGAAGAGTTGCTTCTGAAGGCCCATCTTTTTCTGTCTACATTGTTTGAATTCTCCCTTCTTTTCCGGAGTGACCGTCTGAAAGTGGCTGTATTTGCCTCTAGCCTGCCCTACGGCAGCAGCTTTGCAGTGATCTTCTGTCTCTGCCTAGGACTTGGCCATACTGGGGTTCTTCCTGCCTGCCGACTGTGGCTCACCTGCCTTAGCCTGGCTTCCAGGACGCCTGCAGTGTGGCCCTAGCCGAGCGCTCTGTTGCACGTGTGGTGTTCCCATCCTAGAGCCCCTGGCTTCTCGGAGCACACCCGGTACCGCTCATCCTTGCCGTTTGCCCTGCTTGGCAGACTCTCTGCATTGTTGTGTTGAAATCTTTCTCATCCTTCAAGGCCCCCCTACAAAGCACTTTCCTTTCTGAGCCCTCTTCTTTCTACCAAGCCAGATAGCCTTAGGCATTCTTCACGTTCTGTGTTGATTCTATCTAGTATTTGTACCTTCAGCAGTTGCCCTGGGGCTTTGAAGCCTGGCTCTGCCACTTCCTAGCTAGATTACTCTGGGCAAGTAGCTCAACCTCCCTGAGACTTGATTTTCTTAGCTGTGAAATGGGCGAAATAATACTTCCCTCTTAAGGTTGTAGAGGCTCAAATGAGAAAGTACACGGAAAAGGCTGAAATAGATGCTAAACAAAATGCTCTTGTGGACCTGTGTGAGCTACCCTGGTGGTTTCTGGCAGAGCGTCCTGCCGATAACAGGACTGAGATGTTTCAGAAAATACAAAAAACCTGTATCTCCACTTTGATAATGCAGTAGAGACCATATATGCTTTTCAACTCTCAGCATAATAATTTGAGAGAACACGGTACACGTATGCAACAGATCTCATGATATGCCTGCTGTGTACACACAGGGCAGAGATACACCTGTGAACAAGACAGATAAAGTCCTGGCCCTCAGTTGTTTTGTCTAGTAGAGGGAGCACACAAGCAGCAGGATCTTGGGGAGGACCTCTGATTTTCATTTGGAGCTGGAGGACCGTGTCAGGGGAGGCTTTGGTACAAGTGACAACTAAACTGAGAACTACAATTTATTTTACCTATTTAGTAAGCCTTTCTATGGCACAACCAGACACTGTACTAGTGCTTTACAGATGGACTCTTCCTCCTCCCAACATGCCAGGTACTTCCTGTATATCTACAGTGAGGTAGTTACTGCTATGACTCCCATTTTACAGACGGAGAAAGTGAGGTGCAGAGCAGTTAAACCATTTGCCCACCCCTACAGCTAGTGCGATGTAAGGCTGGGATTTGAACCCAGGCATCCCAGGGTCTGTGCTTTTCCACCGTGGGCTGTCTCTGAGATTCTGGAATGGGTGTGTTTCATTGATGTCTTTGACGATTGCCTTGTCTGTACCTTTAGGACTCACGATGAACCAGATAAAGCCTAACCATCTAGGCTCTTCTCTGAACTGCTTCAAGAAGCTCAGGGGGCCTCTTTCTATTTAAAGCAGAGTTTGACCCAGCCAACGTGATATTGTTGGGTGGTTGACTCACCCCATGGCTGCCTCTGATTTGTCAGCAGAGGGAAGTAGGTGGGGGGCAGGCAGGGTGTGAGACCTAAGGTTCTGATGCAGCTGTTGAAGGTGACAACCACGAGACACATGTTTGTTTTGCTTGAGGAACCCTCCTCCTGCCCCCGCTCCATCGGGGTCGCCCCAGTAACGGCTCGGCACTCCACATGACTGAGTGCAAAACAGGAAGGGGGCATAGTAGGAGGCTGGAGATGCTTCGAGATTCGTTTCCAGGGAGACCTCCACTCTGCTTCTGAGGCCTGGCTTGCTAGAGCCCCGCTCCGGCAGCTGAGCACGGAGTCATTAAGGAAGTCTTTGAGTTTGGTTTAATGGTCGCTCTTTGTTTTGAAGTGATTGTTTACTGTACCTTCAAAGCCAGCTCTCCTGCAGGATGTGATCTCGGGCCTGGATAATTGGATGAGGCACCCCAATAGGAAGCAAGGAGCGGGGAGCAGAGCCAGGATAGCCCGCAGGTGGCCAAGCCTTTGGCATCTGAGCACTTGAGGCTCCGCCCGCTGCTGCTGGAGGGACCAAGGTCATCTTGTAGCCAGGAGTAGATCTGAAGCAAGGGTCCCCTGGAACCTGGCCTCTTTGATGTTGTGCTGGCCCTAATTAGGGACACCCTAATTAAGTCACTAAGGAGAAAGCTTATTTCTTAAAAAAAAATTAGCAAATGTTTTGAGAGCATTTCATGAGGGATTACTTCTCAAAGATTATGCAAGCAATATGAACTTAATGGAAAAAAGACTAAGACACTTCAGTTAAGTAAAAACTAGAACTCGCCCATAACCACTTGATTACAGAGTGGATTACATAAGTACGTTTCAGACACAGGTTCACGTGGCCTACGCCGTTCCAGAAAGTTCTTTTTTTCACTTAGCTTTGCACTTAACGTTGTCTTTCCGTGTGTGTAATTATAAGCCATGTCAGTTTTAATATTGTGTGCTGTTCCATTGTTTTGTGTACAGTTAATTTATTCAGTTGACCTGTATCTGAGTTCAGACTGTATGCCAAGTTCTGTATTAAGTGCTAGGGGTACAGCAGTAGATAACATGGACACAAGTCCCTGCCTCTTGGAGCTTACATTCTAGGGGAGTGGGGACAGATGAACTGAATAAGTTACTTCTTTTGTATATTAGAACGGGGAAAAAATGGAGCAGAGGTGATGTTGTTTTTTAAATAGGGTGGATGCGGAAGGTCTCACAGAGAAGGTGACCTCAGAGAAATACCGTATGGCGTATGTGGAGATCCCAGGAAGAATGTTGCAGGCAAGGGGAGAGCATGCAAAGGCTTTGAGATGGATGCCAGGTCCACGTGTTGCGTACGGATTCGTGCTTAAGCTGTGCCCGGTTTTTCACTAATTATAAGCAACACTGCAGCAAGTATATCCTTGAAGCTAGACACTGATCTGCATTGACAGTTTCCCCTGAAGGATTTAGCCTGGGTCAAAGGTACGCACTTCTCAAGGCTTTTCAAACGCATTGCCCAGTGCCTTTCAGAAAGCACGCGTCGGTTCACATTCCCCTGTGTGGGTGCTGGTCACCAGGGATTACTTCTCAAGGAGCCAGACTTGAATGTTGGGACTGAAAATTGCTGAGACCACGGCTTGCGAAGCCTCAGAGGAACTGGGCGTCTTATCTGGGGTGGTCATTCTCCAGTTTTGCTGTGTGTGATTTTAGCGAGAAAGTCTAAGTCTCCCCTGGGTGTTAAATGCAGGTGTCCAGGGCCCTCCCCAGAGACTGTGATTGTGTAGCCCTGGGGTGAGGCTCCGACATCTGTAGTTTCAGCAGACATTCCTGGTGAGTTTCTGGTGGTTGTGATTATACCAGGAACAGGTAGAAGTGGGGGGTGGCTTGGGGGCCACCCTGAGCGACCAAGAGCCTCCTGTGCCACCATCGCCATGAGGCTCTCCCTGCTCCCCTCTCCCGTGCCCCCAAATTACACCTTCTGGAAAGTGTTCCAGGTGACCAAAATGACTCCCAAGCCTAAATGTAGCATGGTCTTTTGTATTTCCTTTGCTTTGCTAATTTTTATTTTTTAAAGGTCAGGTATTTATTTTGGGAGAGAGGGCGAGTGAGCAGGGGCGGGGCAGCTGGAGAGGGAGAGAGAGAGAATCCCAAGCAGGCTCTGTTGTCAGCCCAGAGCCCAAAACGAAGCTCGATCTCACGAACTGCATGATCATGACCTGAGCTGAAGTCAAGAGTGGGACGCTGAACCGACTGAGCCCCCCAGGCACCCCTTTGCTAATTGTTTCTTTGGCAGGGGAAACTTTCTCCCTTCTTTATCTCCTTCCTCTATGCCAGGAAAACTCCCCTTTGTCCTTGAAGACCTAAGTGAGGCATCTCCCACCTCCAGAAGCTTGCACCACCCCCACCTTCTAGTGCTTTATATTTAGAGTGTGGTGCCATTTGACTGGTGGCTCACACATCGATGCTCGTACTGGCTAGAGTTCTTCAATGCTTTGGCTCCTAATCTCTGTGTGGCCTGCACCCCACTCCATGCCTGTACATAGTAGGTACTCATTAAATGTCTGAGTTAGGGTGGCTGGCCTTGTACGTTGACTCCTGAAAATAGCAGTCCCTATTAATTGAATTCTAAGTGCTGGTCACCCTTCTAAGCACTTGCATGATTTTCCCAGCCCTCATTGCCATCCTTGGAGGTGGGGATTAGCATGGGCATCATTTACGGATGAAGACAGGGCAGGTCTGGGTGACTAAGTCCCCTAGGTCACCTAGTGAGTAGATCTGAAGTCTTGCAGACTGACTCTAGAGCTATGCTTTTTTTTTTTTTTTTTAACTTTTAAAAAATGTTTATTTTGAGAGAGCATGTTTGAGTGAGGGAGGGGCAGACTGAGGGGGGAAAGAGAGAAAGAATTCCAAGCAAGCT